TCCATGGGAGCTGATGAGATTACCAAGTGAAGTAGTATAGAAGGAGAAAAGAACAGGGCCCAGGACAGAGCCCCGAACACCTATGTTGAGAGAGCATGATCTGGAAGGGGATCTAGCAAAGGAGACTGAGAAGGAGAGGTCAGATAGGTAGTAGGAGAACCAGGAGCCTGGTGTTCTGAAAACCTAGAGAGAAGAGAATATTAAGGAGGAGAGGGTGATCAAGTGTCAGAGGCTACAGAGATGTTAAGGAGAGTGAGAATTGAGGAAAGACCATTGGATTTGGCAACTAAGATCATTGGTAACTTTGGAGAAGGCAGTTTCAGTAGAAAGGTCAGATGCAAGATTATAAGGGTTTAAGAAGCGACTGAAGGGAGAGGAAGTAGAGGCATCTATTATAGCCTTTTCAAGGAATTGAGCTACAAAAGGCAGAAGAGATACAGGACAATTTCGGGGGGGGGGGTAGGAGGGTCCAGTTTTTTCAACATGAGGCAGACATAGGCATATTTGTAAACAGGAAAGGAGCCAGTAGAAAGGGAGAGATTGAAAATAAATGATGGAGTAAGTATGACTGGAGCAATCTGTTGGGAGAGATAGAATGCAATGGGATCACTTGGACAGGTAGAGGGGTTAGCCTTGGTAAGGAGTAAGGCCGCCTCATCATGTGAAATGAGTGAAGGAGAAGAGAGTGGAAGAAGGTGCTTGTGGCAAATGGCCTCCAATTTTTTTGTAAAATATAAGGCAAGGCTTTCATCTGAGAGTAGGGGAGGGGAAGCCATGGGAGGTTTGAGATGGGATGAGAAGGTTTGGAAGAGTCCCTATGGAGAGTAGGTTAGTTGGTAAGGGGAGGTATAGAAGGCTTGCCCAGCAGCACCGAGGGCCCAGTCATAACAAATTTGTATTGGGCCCAGTCAGAACAGTTGAGTGATTTTTTTCTACCTTCATTCAGCCGCACAAATGTAGGAGCAGCAAATGGTGGGAGTGATCCAAGGCTGAGGCTTATCTGGGTGTAACTGGTGTAACTTTGTCTCCAGAATATGCACTTGGCCAGAAAGGAGAACTAGGTGAGGAGCTTGGAAGATAGACCACACGTTTGACATTTGGGCATGTTAGGGAAGTGAGGAGGGATTTCAGTTTTTCAGACATCTGCCAGAATGTTCTCTGTGTAACTGATAACTTCATTTGTCTTAGAAGTAATTTCATCCTTTAAAAGGTATAGGAACCAAGAAGGGAGAATTCTGGGTTGGATTCAGTTCTTACTAACTTGGAGGAACCAGTTGCTGGGGTAGAAATGGGAAAATGGGGGCAGCTAGGTGGCGCAGTGGATAGAGCACCGACCCTGGATTCAGGAGGACACCTGGATTCTGAGTTCAAATCTGGCCTCAGACACATAACACTTACTAGCTGTGTCACCCTGGGCAAGTCACTTAACACCATTGCCTAGCTTAAAAAAAAAAAAGAAATGGGAAAATGGCAGGGGGGTGGGGGGATGGGAGGGATAGGGGTGGAGAGTGACCCCTTGTGATAGGGAAATTTAAAAAAGCTAGGCACAGTCTGATATGCACCCTAGATTTAGGGAAAGTAAGATTTCAAAGGTTAGAGGAGTTCTTAACCTAGGGTCTGTGAATTCAAAAATAATTTTTTTGGTAACTATATTTCATTATAATGTGTTTCCTTTGTAATCCTATGTATTCTATTTTGTGCATTTAAAAACATTATTCTTGGGGGCAGCTAGGTGGCGCAGTGGATGGAGCACTGATTCTGGATTCAGGAGGACCTGAGTTCAAATCCAGCAAGTCACTTAACCCTGTTGCCTAGACCAAAAAAAAAAGAATGAAAAAAACATTATTCTTGGAAGGAGTCCATAGGTTTCACCAGACTGCCAATAAGTCTGTGATACAAAAAAAGATTAAGAACCCCAACTTCACAGGAAAAATAGGTATCCCCTGGACTAATATTCTACCAGGAGTCAGACCAGGAAGGATGGGAGTTGCTCGGTAATGAAATTCCGATGACACAGAGGAGGAAAAAGCAGGGTTGTCTGAAGAAACCAATGTGATTGTATAGGAAATTATCCAGCCAACTTAAGATTTTTTTTTTTTTTGGCTAGGCAATTGGGGTTAAGTGACTTGCCCATGATCACACAGCTAGTAAGTGTCTGAGGCTGGATTTGAACTCAGGTCCTCCTGATTCGAGGGCCGGTAAGGTATCTACTGAGCCACCTAGCTGCTCCCCAACTGAGATTTTAAAAAGATACACATATACATCCATCTCTCTCTCCCCCCCATACATATATGTATGTGCGTGTATGAATATGTGTATATATATATATATATATATATATATATATATATATATATATATATATATACACACATACAAACATATATACATATATACATATATAGTATGTATAAAATGGAAAGCAAAGACAAGTGATAGGAATGGGTATAAGAAACCCTATAAAAATCACCCCATAAAGAATAGTATCAGGAACACTAAATCTCAGACAGCTAAAGCTCAGTTAGAGTATGAACTTCCTAAGAATGTGGATTGTCTTGCTTTTCCTGTTTGTATGCCTAGTGTTTGGCGTGTTGATAGGTATATAGCATGCATTTAGTAAGTGCTTTTTCATTCATTTATTCATTGTGATGAAGTTGGCAAGAGAAGCTGAGGACAGTGAAAAGGGGTGAGTTTTTGAGATTTTTTTAAAGCTCTGTTGGAGGAAAGAATCAAAGAGAGAGGGAGAGAAAAGGACTGATGCTTGGGGTGGATGGGATGACAATACCTGAGCAAAAATAGAAGATAAAGCTGCCCAGCCTTTACGTATGCATTTTCCACCAAAAAAAATGACAACACAAATAACCTATAGGCAGTTAATGCCTAAGATAAGTAAGAGAGTACCTTGTTACCCAGGTGACCTTGACTAATTCAAGTCATCCAAATGAACCATCCTTAGCTACTCAAAGAATGGGTGGGTATGATTATTGAGCCTCTGTCAGTCATATTTGAAAGACTGGAGTTGCTATTAGACTCTAGAAGTAAAGGATAGAAAAGGGTGTGATTGGCAGAAGTTTGTCTGAAAAATATCTGGGGGTGTTAACGAACTGAAGGCTTGATATAAATTTGCAAGGGGGGGCGGCGTAGGGAAGCCAGTGAGATCTTGGTGTGCATTGAGAGGCAGAGTTTCCAGAAATAAGCCGCTATCCAGAGATTATCCCAGTGCTTCCTCTCTTCTGCTGTGTCAGACTACATCTGGAATACTATGTTCAGTTCTGGGTGCCATAGATTAAGAAGGGCATTGAGTGAAAATATGTTTAATATGAATGCATAAGTAGAGCCTATATCAGATTGCATGCCATCTTGGGGAGGGGGGAAAAGAGAGGGAGGGGGAGAAAATTTAAAACTCAAAATCTTGTGGAAGTGAATGTTGAAAACTAAAAATAAATAAATAATTTTTTTGATTAAAGATTTTTTAAAAGGATGTTGACAAGGATCTAAGACATCTCCAAAGGTCTCATGATGGAAAATGCTATCCACATCCAAAGAAAGAAATATGGAGTTTGAATGCAGATCAAAACATACTATTTGCTATTTTTTCTTCTGTTTTGTTTTGTTTCCTCTTTCTGGTGGTTCCTCCTATTGGTGCCAACTCTTCTTACAACATGACTAATGTAAAAATACATTTAATAGAAATGTGTATGTATAGCTGATATCAGATTGCATGCCATCTTGGGGAGGGAAGGGGAGAAAAATTTTAAACTCAAAAGTTTATGGAAGTGATTGTTGATAAATGAATATAAATTAATTTTTTAAAAAAGAGGGCACTGAGAAGCTAAAAGAAGAGTATCTGGAGGAAGGGCCGTAAATCCATATCATGTGAAGATAGGTTGAAGGAAGTGGCATCACTGAGATTTGAACCCAGGTCCTCTGACTCTAGATTGAGTGCTCTGGGTTCTCTTGGCCCCAGAGGACAGGACCAAGAGCAATAGGTGGGATTTACAGAGGCAAATTTAGATTTGATACCAGCAAAGACTTCCCAATAATTAGGTCTTTGCAGAGGTCAAATGGTCTGCTTGGGAGGAGGTGGTGGATTCCCCCTTCTTGGAAGGAAATCTTCCAGTAGATTTAGATGACCACTTGGCAGTAGATTGTAGTAGGAATTCTTTTAGGATATGAGTGGCTTCTGAGATCTCTTCCAGTATAAAACTCTGGGATCACTGCCTAATGCTTCTCCCCAGTTCAATACATCCTCCACAAAGCTGCCAAGATAACCGTCTTGAAGCAGAAGTCTGAGCATGTCACTCCTGTTCAAAAATCTTAATTGGCTTCCATTGTCTCTAGTATAAAATACAAGCCCTTTGGGTTTGATATATAATCAATAATCAAGGGCCAATAAACATTTTTTAAGTGTTTGCCCTGTGCTAAGTACTGTGCTAAGTGCTGAGAATGCAAATAAGAAAAAGACAGCTCTTGCCCTCAAGAAGCTTACAGTCTAAAGGGGAAGACAATACACAAAAGGAAGCTAGAAAGAGGGTGCTGCCAGAGGATACCCAGTGGGAGAGGGGAACATGGGAACACAATGTGTGTAAAGTCGAAACCAAACAGAGCAGCTGATGGAAAAATGTAATGATGTAAGCCTTTTTAGTAAGTCATAGCCTTCTTTCCAGATTTATATTTCCTTAATTACATAAGTATAGTAGAATATAAACTCCTCAAGGGCAGAGATTGTGTTTTCTTTTGTCTTAGTATTCCCAGGGTCTTGGCAAATAGTAGGCACAATAAATGCTCATACTGGAATTCCAGCTCCAGAATGTTATGATTCTAAGCTGTAGGGATAGCTATCAAAGATGATAGTAAAAAAGAATATTAAATAGAATCTCTCCTCAGAGCAAAGAGAAACAGAATTTAACAGCCCTGGAAATCCTGCCTTCTCTCTTGTAACTGGACAGAGAGAGCATTTTTCCTCTCTGCATCAATCCTCTGGTCCTTTCTATCTTCAGGGCTGCTCAGCTAGAGAAGGAAGTGGCTGGCCTTCGGGAGAAGATCCATCACCTGGATGACATGCTGAAGAGCCAGCAGCGGAAAGTCAGACAGATGATAGAGCAGGTAAGAGTAGACGTCGCCACCCTCTGGCTTTCTCCCTTCTAAAAATGCCCCATCCCTCACTGACCTATGGCACTGTTTTTGCCTGTCAAGTCTGGGCAGAGGAAATCCCTTTGACCCACTAGGAGATCTTGCTTGATAATCCAGAGATTTCTGGTCAAGTGCTTATAGCCTACTCTTGGGTTATCCAGAATTAGCGAGCGTCCTTTACTCTCCTGGTTTGTTTTTTTCCCCCTCTTTACCTTCCATAGATGGTGGGGAAGGGACAGAAAATGAGCCAAAACCGTCTCCCCTTTCTCCGTGAGTCATTCAGAGAAAACTGTTGTCAGCGGAAAGAAAGAAGTAAACTCCCTTTGTCTTTGTGGATGACCCAGATCGAATTTTAAACCCTAACTGGATTCCACTCCGACACACACACTCACACTGGCACATTTCAGGGCTGTCTTCCCCTCCTCACACTGGTAGTTTGTGCTCAGAGAATGCATTCTTTTTTCTGTGAGCCTAAGCAAAACATAATTAGGAAGGTGAATCTACGGCACTATTGAGTGTGTGTGTTCCAAGGCCAAGTCGAATACATTGCTTTGAATTATTTGTCCTCCTGCTCCATTACATTGATCTAAATCGTTATATTGATTTAAGTGTCTTTTGTATCAGAAAGAAATCTGAAAGCAAGCTCTTAAAGAGCTGAAAATTCACCTTTTCCTACATTCTCTAGCAGCCAGAGGTGAAAGTCATTTGGCCTGTGTTCATTTTTTCAAATCGCCCATTGTTTGCCCTCACAGCTTCAGAATTCTAAAACCGTGATTCAGTCAAAGGACACAACCATTCAAGAGCTCAAAGAGAAGGTTGCCTACTTGGAGGCTGAGGTATGACTCATGGGAGTCACTTTGGAGGGGAATCTGGGCTCTTGGGGCCTGAGAAGATTAGGAGGTTAGTGGCAAGAAGGCTTCAGGAAGTGAGGCTTGGGGACAATTAGTTAATCATCAGGTTTTCATTGTTGGGATGGTAACCTTGGTCTGCAAAGTGTAGTTGTGTTTACTGAATGATTTCTAACTTTGCTGCAGGGCCTTTACAGTCTTTTGAGTAACTAATAATTATTGAGCAGCTATGTCTGCAGAAGACTTGAGTGAGTGGTACATAGAGGCAAAATAGAAATGAAAGAGGGTGCCCTCTGGCTGCTTACAGCCTAGTTTGGGAGACTTGGACATGTGTACCTGTATACATATAATATGTACCCAGACTTAAAAGACTACCTAGACAAGTTTTTCCAACAGGGACTGGAGTATAGAAGTGATAAAGGGATGTTACAGTAAAGGGATGATCATTGTTGGATGGGAAGATAACCTGGAGAAGAAGGGGTAGCTAAGGAATGGTGGATATGGAGGGAGAAGGCATTTCACTTGAGGAGTAATAACATCTCCAAAGGGGTGGGGGGTGATGGCAAGAGAGGATTAATCGGTGGGTGGGAGACCACAACAAGAGAAAGGATGCACTCTCACCTTGGAATGTATATTCTAGAATTTAGAGATGCATGACCGAATGGAGCACCTGATAGAAAAGCAGATCAGTCCTGGCAATTTCAGTACCCAAACCCGAACCAAGAGTGACAACCTGGGAAGGTGAGTATGTATACCTATGTATGTGGGGTCTGTGTCAGAAAAAAGGAAAGGAGGAAGAGAGAATAATCTTGGCTGTAAGAGGACTCCTCTTTACTGAGCTCCATATCTCCCTTGGTATTGAAGGGATGACTTACAGAACAAGTCTGTTCCTTTAGACCATACAGGGTTCTTAACCTGGGTCCTGTGAACTTTTTAAAAAATATGTTTTAATAAATCTATCAAATCAATTGGTTTACTTTGTAATCTTATGTATTTTGTAAATTCAAAAACATTATTTTATTGGCTTCGTTTGGCTTGGTCCATTGGCTTCCCCAGATTGCCCAAAGGGTCCTTGACGCAGCAGGTTAAGAACCCCTACTTTAAGCCCTATTTTGACCTGATTTCCCACCGTGATCTTTCCTTATCTGTCAGCCTAACACCTCCCCTTTCCCTTATCTCTGCTTTCCACTTCTAAATTGCCCTCTCATCTCCTCTTTCCTGATACCATTTATGGGCCAAGGTTGAAGATGTTTTGTGAGATGATTGGAGAAGAAGAGCATATATGGATATAAAGAACAGCCTCAGCTTCATAGGACTGAAAAGGGTTTTGAAGCCATTATCTGTATCTCACTGCTTCACTAAAGGGCACCACACTTCTGAGAGGTGATTGGCAATTCGGGTTTTAAAAAACTGGGTCCCTAAGAATAGAATTACTGGGAAGACTAATTAGCACTGAAGGAGTAAACCAGAGAGAGAGAGAAGTAGAGGATGAATCGGGTGGAGGAGGGGGCATTGTAGCTGATGAGTAGGACAATAGAAGGCATTAAGTGTTCTTGTCTTGTGTCTCTTCTTTTCAGCGTTAGGATCTCCCGGCCTCCAAACCCTAAGCCCTTGCCTCTCATCCGGGTGGTGGAAACCTGAGCTGCAAATGAATATTGCTGCTTACTACCCTTGTTGGCCTAAAGAGAAAACCCACCCACCCTGTTGTATCACAGACTTTTACTTCTTGATCGCTCCTTGGCTGCCCCCCCTCCCCCCCTCCCCCGGGCCACATGTTTGTGTGCCTAATTCTTGAGCTCCTTTCTTCTGTATGCTGGGCAGACGGAGGAGGGGGAGGGTCTTCCTCTGGAGACCTGGAGCCCTTTGAAGGAAGCTACTGAGGCCAGGACAAGGGTGGAGCCAGTGATAACACCCATAATACCATGATTGTTGCTGATCTTCATTAAAGAGGAGATTTTTCCTCTGAAACTGGGTGTCGAGCTGCCCTGGCAACCAGGGTTACCCAGCAGGACTGGGATGGGGTGCCCTGACTCACCTCCTCCCTAACACATGGACTGGTTATCATGCTGAGGGACAGAACCTCTTTTTTCCAGTGTTGCTCAGCCCCTAGCAACATACCATTTCCCCGTTTCTCTGTGCCCCAGAAACGCTTAGTCCTCCTCCCAAGATGGCGGGATGCCTACCAAGCTTGGGGGCTGTCTGGCTTCAGTGAGGATGAATCTCTCCTTCAGTTAAGTCCATTTTCCCGGGGAGGAGGGTGAGACAAAAATCTGCATTCAAAGAATGGATTTGTAGCAGGAAGGGGTCCCTAGGGACACTGACAGCTACACCCTAGTCCTTACTGCTTTTGTCTTCTACCACAATTCCCAGAAACCCTTGGAGTGTTTTTGTTTTTCTTTCTTTTTTCCCCATTTAAACTTAGCCCAAGAAATACCCCAGTCTTCTTGGTCCCAGTGCCTGGAGGAAAGATTTTCCACCAGACTACATCACTCTCAGAGAAGTAGCCATGCCTCCCCCAATATTTATTTTGCTAAGTTATTGGTGTCTTTGATTATGTCTTGTGGTTGTTTTAATACCAAAGTTTTGGAACCTACCTATAGCTATAGAGTTGCTTGAAACTGGGAAAAGCTTTTTGTGTGTCTTTCATCCTTCTCCTATCCCTGTGTTTTCCTCTCCCCTTTCTCCATTTGTAATTTGTGGACCAGGTAGGGAATTGTATGTGTGTTTGTATATTCAGACTACAGGTAGGGGGGAGTGGGCGGGAAAGGAAATGTATATTGATTGTACAGAAAATTCATGAATAGGATCCTTGAATCTCCCCCTCCCTGCTTCCCTTCCCTCTCCCCCACCATTCAGGGTCCTTTTGGGTATACTGCCTCTGAATGATCCCATCTCCTCTTGGTCCCTGACTTGTAGCCTCAGGCGATGGAGATAAAGCATCAGAGGACTAGTATAGTCCTGTAGAAAAATATTAAGTCACTTAGCTCTGCCTGGCTCAAAAGTAGAAGGCTTAAGTTTGTCTGTGTCTGTGTAGAGGAAGCCTGGGTACTAGGCCAAGTCCTGCCCAGAACTTGCTTTGCCACTGTGGGCAAGTCCTTCCATGCTCCAGTTGACTCATCTAGAAAGTGAAGGGCCTGCAGTAGTCTATTTCCAAAGTCTCTGCTAACTCTAAAATGTGTTTCTGGCCTATACTCTTTATATGGTGAATCGAATAAATTATATTAATATGCCTCTCAGATTCTGGTCTGGTTTTTATTTATTGGTTGAAAAAACAAAAACACCTCCTCCTCTAGCCTCCTGAAGGATGCCCTTTCTTTCACATCTGGAGAGTCCTCATGGGGACAGATCTTCCTCTTTTGTATGATTTGCATCACTTGGACCCCAAAAGCTTTGTGGCTTCTTTGATTAAGTGCTTTCGGAGTGTAGGGGGTATGGAAGGGGAACTCAGCTTAAGTGGTCTGTGCTCTCATTTAGAAAGGATAGGAGAGTTTGGGGGTGGCTCCTTATTCTGGCTTTGGACCTTGCCTGGTTTGGAGGCCTTGGCTGAATCCCGGAATGTCTCCTGGCTTGGGAAAAGGAACTGTTAGGGGATGGAGGTGCTGTGATTACAGATATAGCCACCAACTAGCTCCGCAGGGTACATGAGTAACTCACTGCCAAGTCCTTTGCAGAAATGAAAAGCTCTAGAAATGCTGACTGCAGCTGTTGCAGAGTGTTTGGGGCTATCTCTGGGCATCACTCAATTAGCACCAACTCTTTCTTTCTGGCAGAGTATGCAGATGGCTGCAGGGCTGAATGGGGACATGGCTGAATTTACACTAATCCTCTCTGGACCAGAGAAACCTGAAACCCCACCCCCAGCCTTGTCCCTCTCCTGCCACCCAGTTCAGAGGAGCCTGAGCTCCTATTGTTTCTCTTTCCCTCTCTCATTTTTTTCAATAGATTCACACCCAGGGGTGCAGAAGGCATCAGGAACCTCTCCTCCTCCTCCTAGAGCTAACCCACCGAGTGTCTCCCTTCTTTGCCAGATCTGCCTGGGCTGGGTATCTCTTGTCTTTGTTCTCAGAATTATTAACAGGGTAGCAGCAGGTGCCAGGAAGACTTCCCATTAGAAAGAGAAGAAAGGTGTGGGGATAAGAATATCCTTCTATAAAAAGGAAAGGCTTCTTTGGATTTGACCAAGGTTTATTAAGGACCTACTATGTGCTTTAAAAAAGTGAAAGTTCATGCCCTCGAGGGGCATACTTTTCCTGGGGATAGGGTAGGGGAATGTGTATTCAGATAAGCAAAGCAAATGTGAGGGGTTGGAAGACTCCATTAGAACTGTGGTGTCAAGAAAAGTCTCATACTGGATGGAGTTAACTGAGTTGAGCCTTGAAGGAAACTGGATTCTAAGGGGGAGGGGGAAGGGAGTGCATTCCAGGCACAGGGGGGCAGGAGGTGGAATGTCTTGTGCCAATGGAAGAGTGACAAGATCAATTTGACTAAAACACAGAATGCATAAATGGAAGTATGCATGTCCAACCTCATAGGTAAGGTAACCTGTAGCCAAACTGCAAAGGGATTTCTGGAAAGAATCATTGAAAAGAGAGGCATGATAATTAACAAAATGGACCATTTCAGAGAAACTTGGGAAGACCTATATGAACTGATGCAAAATGAAGCATGCAGAACTAAGAGGACAATTTATACAATAGCATTACAAAAAAAAAAAACTTGGAAAGCCTTAAGAACTCTGATGAATGCAATGATAAAAAAAAAAATTCCCAAAGGACTGAAAATGAAGAAAGCTACCTGCTTCCTGACAGAGGGAACAGATTTAAGATGCAGACTAACATATTTTTGAATGTGGTCAATGTGGGAATTGCTTTGCTTGATGTAACATTATTGTGAGGAAAGTTTCCTTTTTTTGTTTTCAATTTGCAGGGATAAAATTTTTTTTAAGTTCAGAATGAGACACTTGGAAATGGCCATTATGCCAGTTTGTTTTGCTTGACTGCATATTTGTTACAAGGGTTTTTGTTTGTTTGTTTTTTTCTTCAAGTGGGGTCATGGAAGGAGAGAAAATAAATGCTTGTTAATTTATAAAAGAAAGGAAGAAGTCCACCTCATGTAAATAGCTCTCTTGGTCTTCAAGATAAGAGTGGTTGATTAATAATTGGGGGTGTTGTAACTCAGTCAACAAGTATCTATTAACCTACTATGTGCCAGGCATTGTGCTAAGCATTGAGGAGACAAAAAACAAAAATGAAAACAGTCCCTGCCCTCAAGGAGTTTATAGTCTATAGGGACAGACAACATGTATATATAAGAATATATGAGATATGAATGGAATAAATACAATGTGTTTTATGTGTGTATGTGCATGTATGTTTGGTTGTTTCAGTTGTGTTTGACTCTTTGTGACCCCATTTGGGGTTTTCTTGGCAGAGATACTACAGTAGTTAGCCATTTCCTTCTCCAGCTCATTTTCCACATGAGGAAACTGAGGCAAACAGTGAAGTGACTTGCCCAGGGTCACATAGCTAGTAAGTGTCAGAGGCTAGATTTGAGCTCAGGGAGATGAGTCTTCCTGACTCCAGGTCTGGCATTCTATTCACTGTGCCACCTTTCTGCCTTAATACACACACACACACACACACACACACACACACACACACACACACACACGGGTGCATACATGACCCTGGGCAAATCACTTAACCCTGTTTGCCTGAGTTTCTGTATCTGTCAAATCCACTGGAGCACAAAATGGCAAACCACTCCAGTATCTTTGCCAAGAAAACCCAAAAATGGGGTCATGAAGAGTCAGACACAGCTAAAACAATTGAACAACATTATTATATATAATAATAAATGCATAATATATACATTGTGCATATGTGTGTATGTATTACATATCTGTATATATGTCTATATGTGTGTATACATGTATATGTGTGTATACAGAGAGAAGGTACAAAGCCTGATGTGGAAGTGAAAAGATAGGATTCATGCTTTCTCTAGGGGTTAAACTGGACAGTCTCTGGGCTCCCTTTCGGCTGAGTCTTAAGGCTCTGTGTTTCTCCAGGTAGGTGTGGTGCCCTTTCTGTGTGGAGCGGAAAATTTGACATAGGGAAGGGGCACCAGGGTTGGTAGGGAAAGAGAGGCATCTGAGCCTCGGAAACTTTTCAGCTTGAGGTGGAAGGAGGGAGGAAAGGAAGTGAGATCGACAGAGCCCAGTGTTCTTCAGGCTGGGCACGGTGAGGTAAGCTGTTCTTGGACTGAATGCTCTATTTATTTCCTGTGTTTTGTCATTTTTGAGCCAGCTCCTCTGCTACTTTCACATCTTGTGGAGGGAGGATCAAGCCCTATTCCCCAGAGGCTTTGCTGGATCAGCCTGTTTCCTTAAGCTGGGTGTCAGAGCTGCCCAGACATGCATTCCTCATTAGCAGCCTCCTGTGAGCATGAAGCAGTTCAGCCCCAACGTGGGAAAAGAAACTGGGGAGCCCTCTTTCCAGGAGTGTTCTAGTAAATGTTTAACAACCAACCCTGGGGGCGGGGAGGAATGTACCTTGACACATTTGAAAATTTCAATCTGCATTATTAACATCTTTTCCATCAATTTCTGTAAGCCTAGACATTCAACAAAACAATAAATCAAGCCCTGATTTCTATCCGTTTGCCAATTTCTGAAGTGTAAAGATTCACACTGAAAATGTATTAAATAATGGGGTTGCTAGGTCAAAGCTGGCCCGAGCACACCTTTTCTTTTTCCTTCTATTATTTGTTTATTTTCTTCATCCTCCACCATGGCTAAGTCAGATATGAAAAGGGTTAACAGAGACATGGACACCTCAAAAAACAACAAGAAGAAGAAGGACGTTAAAAATTAAATAACTTTCTAACAAAAGAATTGACTGGCTTTCTTTCAGTCCTACTTAATTAGACCTTTTTAGCTAAACTACTGGAAGACTTAACCTAAGAGGAAACCCTGTCATCCCAAGAATTAAGCGGCTTAAAGTTGACCCTGGAATGAATTCTGGAAACCAGCGCAGACAAGGAGAATACCTTTTGGGTTGAAATTAGCAGCTCTATCTTTTTAATCAGCTAACAATATGTTGCTCTTTCATCATTTTCATTTTTTATTTCTTGCTCTCCCTTCCTTCCTTCCTTCCTTTTCTCTAATAATTCCCAGGGTTCCCTCAGGCATCAGAACTAACTATTTCTGAGTGTGGGACTGAGCTTGGTGAAACTCTGACCCAATAGCAGATGTTCGACTTGGGCTCTTAGCCTCTTGCATTGTGTTCAGATCGAGGCCTTTGGCATTCACAAATAGAAGTGGTTTCCTCCCTTTCCTGACTCAGTTCCAATCACCATGGTGTCTCTACTCAATTTCTAGAATGACCCAGTTTGAGACCCCTAAATTGCCCCACCTACCTTCCTCCAAGGTCTCTATGAATAACTTTAATACCAGCAGAGAAGACAGAAAAGTGTTTTCTTTAGAGAAATGCCTGGGAGACTGTTGGTTCAGCATGTTCCCCAAACAATAACTCATTTGTACGGCCTTTGAGGTTTACAGATTAATTTCCTTACAAAACCTCTGGGAGACCCATCTTCAATGACACCTTCCTTGCATCTTCCTAAATGTATGTGGTGGATTATCCTTTATGGCAGGGGCTCTTAATTTGATTTTCATTATCAAAATGATCAAAAATCATTAACTTGATTTTTAAAAAATTTAAATTTAAAATAAAAATTTAAAAATAACTATATTTTGATATAATTGATGTCTTTTGTAATACTGTGTATTTTATTCTATGCATTTCGAAGAATTCTGAGAAAGGAGTCAGGAAAACTTGAGTTCAAATCCAGCCTCAGACAATTGCAGGCTGTGTGCCCTTGGGCAAGTAACTTAACCTCTTTGCCTTAATTGCCTCTACTGTTAAAAAAAAAAAAAAGGATAATTATAAGCACCTTCCTTCCAGGGTTGTTGTAAGGATCAAAGGGGGATAATAATTGTAAGCACCTGGCACATAGACACTTAATAAATCTTTCCTTCCTTCCTTCCTTCCTTCCTTCCTTCCTTCCTTCCTTCCTTCCTTCCTTCCTTCCTTCCTTCCTTCCTTCTTCCCTCCCTCCCTTCCTCCCTCCCTCCCTCCCTCCCTTCCTTCCTTCCTTCCTTCCTTCCTCCCTTCCTCCCTCCCTTCCTTCCTTCCTTCCTCCCTTCCTTCCTTCCTCCCTCCCTTCCTTCCTT